TTACAACTCGCACATTCCAATTCCTTCTTATGATTATGTCTCTTATGCGAGGATATTTCTCGCTTATTCCGACTATAATTATTATCTGTAACATTAGTGCGATTAATTCTATCGATATTCTCCTCTTCCTCGTCGAAATCTTCCAAACCATCCTCGGTTTTAATTTTATCGATAATTTTTTGTGCAGCTCTCGCAGCAACTCTTTTAATACGTTTATTAGGGTCATATTCTTGTCCATGAAGGAAAGTTTTATGATTAGTAGCTATAAGATGATTGCGTAAAGTAAGTTCGTTACCAAATGTTTTGTTACATTGTGTGCACTTGTAAGTTTTTACACGTTCATGTTGCTGTTCCGTATGTTTTTGCAACATTTCTTTCATTGCAAATCGTTGGCAACACACCTTGCAACTATAGTCAATCCCTGAATGACGATGGGTCTCCATGTTTCTAAACAATAAAATGTTTCATCAGAATGATAGACATGTGCAAGACGATTTTCGTATAATAACATAATATACATTGCAACATCTTTAGTTCTTACCTACCTATCATTTTTCTTCGATACATTATTTTCTGTTTCCAGCAATCCTGGTATTGATTTGTTTTCCATCCTGTGATGCCTGTCTATGCTATCTTTATTCTCTATCTCGTAATCACACGTTTCCTTACTAATTGAATACTCTGTATCCATCTCAAGTTCTTGTTCAGTTAGAACACCTTCAACCACGTGTTTCGCGCGATGATTTCTTAATTTTTCCAATGAATCGAATTCTTCTTCGCATATACTGCAACTGAGAACAACATGCGAAATCGCATGTCTTTGTAAGCCACGTTTTGTATAAAATTTCTCTGCACACTTGTCGCATGCAAACGTTTCTGTACGGACATTGCGATTCTCCTGTTCCTCTTTTTTAATCAAATTACCCACTTGTCTTTTATCGACGTAGTCATTGTATTCATCGTCGTCGTCATCGTCGTCGTCGTCGTGGTTGTCATCATCATTGTTGTTATTGTTATTTCCTGCTCCTCCTCCTCCTTCGCCGCCGCCACCACCACCACCACCACCATCACCGCCACCGTTATTGCCTCTTTTTGCCTCGTTCCCTTTTTCTTCCTCTCTATGCTCTTCTGGACCCACCTCTTTTTGTTTGACTTTTTTCCGATACTCGTTATCCAAATGCCGACGTGCATCTTTATAATTATCAAGATCTAGACTGTGTTCGTCTTCGTGGAATGATATTTCTAAGGGCATTGATTCTTCCTTGCCCTCTTCTTTCTCCCTTTCATGTTTTTTCAAATGTTTACTAAACGAGGTTATATATATGTATTGCTTGCCACAATGCGGGCACTTGTTTGATCTCTTACCCGATGGAGGGGACTTTGCAACATTATAAACGTTCTTTTGCGGTGTATCCGGTGTTTTTTTCAGAGACAATACCTTTCGAACTTCTTCGTGAGAATGCATATGCTCCTTCAAAACATTCTTCGACAAAAACTCTTTGTCGCACAGATAACATAGAAAAATTTTTTCCGATTGATCAGAGGACTGACCTTTTTTCAGTCTCGAGCTTAAATTCAAATTTTCAAAATAGTTTTCCTCGTCGGAATCTCGTCTCGTTTCAAAATTTCGCCGAACTAATTTGCGTTTGCTTCTTCTCGTTTCATTTTGACACTGAGAATCTGCATCTGGCTGAATAACCGTGTTCGTAATATCCGATTTTTCTTCTTCTTCATCTTCCACCTCATCTTCTTGTTTTGTCGTTGCATCAGCTGCTTTTACCAATAGATCTACGTACTCGGTGCAATCCTCCCGCTGAAACGATTCTCCGGAGGAATGTTGATGTTGATGTTGATGTTGATGTTGTTGATGATGATGATGCTGTTGTTGCTGCTCCTGCTCATTCGTGCTAGATAATATACACTCCTGTTGCAATATATAATCGTGTTCTACCGTTGAAATATTTTCAAGGCAATCGTTATCCCCGTTTTCGTGTTTTAACATTTCTTCGTTAATGGGAGCATCTATGATTACTTTAATGTCCTCTTCTTCATGACTCAGGCACTCTCCCGATGTCTGCTCTGTAGCGATAGTTTGATCGATTACCTCCTCCATTACCGCGTTAGAGTTCTGTTCTGGGAAACGCGAAAGACTCGTTAATAACGGTGTTCCACTAAATAAATACTGCCGGCCATGCGAATTCACTTTACCGCAAGAGAAAGACGCAAAAAGAAAGGATTGCAAGAGAAAAAACAGAGAATCACGAACACACGTGTTGACGAGTCGAGAGTAGCATCGCAGCCTACTTTAGATGCAAGCCATGGTGAAAATAAATTTGGCAACAATGTTTATAACTCTCGCCTCGATGTAAACATAACCTAGTCAACATGGCCTCTCCAAAAGTTTCGCGCGAGTTATGAAATGCTGTTATGATAAATGACACTAAATACTAATGCAACGAGACAATTATAATTCAATACAATAGAATGTATAACAGCGTATACCTATAACAATATGTATATGTATACATAGCGCAAATTTTTTCTATATTTATAATCAATATATACATGTGTAACACAGTTGAATCTAAAGTCAAAATTTTCAAATATTTATTTCGTATTCTTTATTTTATCTTTTACAGTAGTAAAATACAGTAGTGTTATATAGATTTTTATCATAGGACCTAATAAATGAACAGTGTCATAGCATCACTGTGTTCTCAGTTTTAAGAAAAATTGACATTACTTTAGAATCAAATAATTCTCTCTTTCTAAAAAATACAAAATTATAAATTCTTGCATCAGTAATGGTAACGTATCACAGCAGTTATCCTGAAGTGGGAAAATATAGCATATCTTTTATTTATTTAAATACTAATATGAATATTTCCATTCTCATCTTTATTTACAACAATTATAATACTGTTTTAGAGATAATTTTTTCTGCAGTATTTTCTGTCAATTTCTCTTGCCACTGATTTTCACATATATGAATGCACTTAACCTCTTTCGCTTAACGTTAGTCGTCTCGTCTCCTTTATACCTTTACCTTTGCTAACATGTGGCACTTTTTTGTCCATTTTTAGAAGCTTTAATTGTATTCAAAGATGATTTTAACTTGTTTCATGCTCATGTTCGTATTTAAAACTACTGTAAATACTTGAAATACAAGTACTTACATGTATGTATCATACATCAAACTCTTCCATGATTATATATCATAGTATTTAGTACACAATATATTATGATATTTATACATTAGTTAAATATACAATAATTATCACAAGGATTAAGGGTATATCTTGAATCAATTTCAATAAAAAACGTTAATCACAATCCGTTCAAGCACATATATATGTATGTACATACGTATTGCACTTCAACTGCAATATTAAAGTAAAAGATTTGATGTTTGTAAAAACATTGTTGCCGCATCGTTCACCATGGATTATATCTAATATCTAACGTAGGCTATTGTTGCATACAAAAGAGAGGTGTACGCAGAAGTAGGTATTACGCGAACGAAGTGTTACGTTATCATGTGAACTTGACTTTATGTCCATAAACAATAATATATAAATTAAGCGCGCGACACTTGCAATATTCAGTACGGAAATACAGAAATGGTATAGAGGAAGTGAGGGAGATCTACTAAATTGCTAATTCCCTATGACTTTTAAGAATTAAACATTGAATTTTCTTACCTTTCGCACTCTGACTTTCTCCTTATCGTATTGCATTCGTATCGATTTCTTACATACTTGAGCAATGCAAATACTAATGCGTGTTTTGCATCTTCTGCATACAACTATTGACGTGGTACATATGATTTCAAACTTCGCTCCTAATTTACATATCGATATCTGTAAATCTGAAGTTACGTTCATGCGTTGACAGCTGCTCCGTTGGCATCGAATATGGATTTCGAGTTGTCACAACATTAAGCAATTTTAAACTTAAATTAACCTAAAACGATCTAAATGAACGATATTAATTGTTACAAATGAAATAGAAAGATTACAAATTTTTCTTTTAGTTTTTGGATAACATTTTTCCAGGTTTTGACTGTACACATTTTGACCTATTAACTGACTCCTCTATTAATTACAAAATATCTATAATGACGAAATTAAAAGTTAATCGATTATTTTTATTAGAAATAAAATAACATATAAAAAAAGTAGAGGAATTTTTTACAATAAAGTAATAAATAAAGAAATTATTACATCAGGAAGATCGACAATTAGGGAGTGACGGGTTAACTCGCCTTTCTCGGCTAACGAGCTAAAGCATAGATTCTTATTCATAGGTCCCAGTTAATTCCTTGTGATATACGAAATCTATTTATGCACTTCGTCTATAATTATAAACAGCTTTTAATACATTTCATCAGTTACTTTTCTCTCATAAGTAAATTCACAGACAAGGTATAAAATAGATCTATGATTCAATGCATTTAACATTGATAGTTAGTAAATTTTTGATATAAACGTCTATTTATGAAATTGCAACTAAGGTATAGAGAGAATAAGATATTTTATAATCGTAAATAAAATATAGAATTCTGTATTTGTACAATATTTGTTTACCTTTATACAGATATTTATTTCACGGATGAATAAAGATTGTTTGAGATTATTCTGATTAGTTCCTTTCCCATTTTGATATGTTCTGACTGCATAAATAAGTCTTCATTTTTGAAATTATTAATCGAACGATTGGTTTAATTAAACTTTTCTCTTATTTTTTGCCTTGTTACTCACGAAACTTTAACTTTCGTGAACAAGTATTTACTATTTTTAATATAGAAAAGTACTTTTATTATTCGAGTTCAGGTACATTATGTTGTTTGTGCCCATATCTTCAACACATCATGATAACCATTGTTAATGACAATTACATACAGCTTATTGACATATTTTAAATCAAAAACCATAATTCAATTCTTTTTAGTAGCTTTTTGAGGTATATTAAACTAGGGAGAGTGTAGAATGAATCATCGAAAGATGCGCGCGCACATAGGTACGGCTATTCGTCGTTTTCTACGCATTGCAACTTGCAAGCTCGTGTTAGATCTTGAAGGAACATAAATGTTGACAGATATTTTAAAGTTACCACGAAAATCATCATCTTGCATAACTTACATTATAAAGCGAATATTTTTTTATCTTCTTGAATGCACGACATATCGAATCACTTAGGAAGAATCGCGAATCTCTTTTATATATTTTCGGTGAGTTCTCTATAAATAGAAAGATTTTCGAGAAAGTTAGTGGCGAGATTAAATTTTGATATTAATATGTGGGTGTATATACTTAACGTTTAATGTCAGATATATCTATGATTTCGACAAATATTTATCTAAAAGTGTTTCAAAATGCATTGTGTCTGTGTTACGAAAGTATTATTAAGATTAATTCTTCTTACGTATCAGACGTGTATACATTATACGTGTATGAACCGAGTGCCAAGATATGTATGTGTATAAATGAGATCAGATCCTAGATCATCTATCTGTGTCTCTCATATATTAAATATTGGTTTCCCTTAGTGAAGTAAGAAATAGGAAAACAAATAGATATTTTTTGATTGTGCATATGATATAGCAATGTGCCGACATGTGCAGCGTATCGCGCTAGGAGAGGTCCAGTAAAAAAAAACAAACTGAAATCAATGAGAGAGGGAGAGAGAGAGAGAGAGAGAGAGAGAGAGAGAGAGAGAAAGTGTGCTTGGTATAAAAGCCAGCATAGAAGGATTCTGTTTAAAGATCCTTCAGCAGGAGGGAAACTATTTTTAGCTTATATACTGTGCACCCTGATGGATTGTAGTTTTTGTGACTTTGTATCTATCTCTATTAATATAATTTTTTTTGTTAATCTCTTAAAATAGATTATTTCTATTTTTAGCAAAACTATGGAGAATGAACAACGACATTATGAATTACGAAGTGGAAGTAGATCACGTTCTAGAACTCCTTTGGTGCAAACTTGTACCATGATTGAACCAGAAACTCTAGAACATCATTATCATTTAAGAAGTTTAAGTCAGGAGAGATCTCATACTCCTGGAGAAGTTGCAAATACTAAAAGATCTGGTCCTAGAATATTGTATGTATTAAAAACATATGGTTGGGAGACTACAAATTTAGACATGGTTTACGCATAATCTCAACTATAATTTGAACATTATTATAGATCTGGTAGTAGCAGTAAAACAAATGATCAAAATGTGGAGGCTATAGTGGAAAGAAAAAAAGAAATTCTCACTGTTGAAACAACATTGGGGGATAAAAATAAGCGAATTGAAAATCCTTCTGTCTATACAAAAAGAGGAGAACGTCGATCTGAACGGCAAAAGGCAAAAAAACAGATATTTGCAAATGGTCAAACTGATAACAAGGAAGGTTCATTTGAATATAAAAGCGGAGAAAGCCAAAAAAACATCTTTCCACATAGAACTATTACTAGTGATTATTCTTCAGAGGAAACAGAACAAGAAGAATTGTCTGATAGATCATGTTCTGCGCATGAAATCTATAAGCAAGCTGGTGATTGGTGGAAGTATGTATTTGTGAAATGAAGGTCATGATGTTATATTATTGTGTATTTATACACGTTCATTGAAATTTAATTAATTAATTTCTTATATAAGTTATAATTTCGTATAAATAAGTTGGCTGAATTTGACTTTGGAGGACATAAATTCATTGGCCCCTTTTTTTATATGTTATGATAGCTTTCAACGAGTAAGATCCAAAAATACAAATATTAACTTTGGAATCTGATGATCCAAAATATATCTGTACGTAAAGTTGAGCGTTTTTAGCATATTTTATACGTTATTTTAACGCCATGTTGGCTTCTGTTCGTAATTTGTCCAATGAGTGGAGTCGCTGGCCGTACACAAATGCACGTGAGTTGTGGCCATTTTGTGGCGGGATTTTGAATTGTGTGTATTGGACTAGGGTTTGGTTATACTTTACCCTTTGACCGCCGTGAAGCGAAATTCAGTTCAATGCTCATCTGTGCGGACCAATCAGATGATAGATAGAAGCAATATGGCATCTCATACTAACCTGTAAAATACGCTAAGAATGCTAAATTTTACATACGCATGATTTTTGAATTGGATTCCTAGAATTAAGACTTGCATTTTTTGATTCTGTGCCTCAAAAACTATGAAATGACAAAAAAAGAATTCAATAATTCTATGTCCCCTAAAGTGAAGTTAAAGCCAAGCGGCTGTTACGAACGATTAATTTTATTTTTATATTGTATCATATGAAACTATTTTACATTAGTTATTAATGTTTGTTAGTGTATTTCCTAAAACGGACTACACCTATTCTGAAAGGTCCAAGTGTCGTTATGAAATAGCGCCAGGTATACTAGCCATGCCTAATATGTCACGGCGATCTATCCATTCAAATACGCAGGATTCTAATCGATCCTTGCACGTTCCATCTGAGAATGTTGTATATGAAAGAACAAATATCGGAAAAGAGAAAGGAACAAAAGCAGAAGATTCTATAGTAAGTACAACAATTTGATTCCAATGTTATATTATAGATGCAGAATTGCAAATAATACATGATTAAATACCGAATGGATGTTTACGTTAGAGTATCAATAACGAATAAAGAATGACTTAGAATTTTTATTTGTATATGATAAAAATGTGTTGTACATATATGTGACTCATAGTACAATTGAGGATTAATGCAAAATATTTCAGTAAACTACAAATATATCCTTATTTATTCACTTATTGGTATTCATTTATTGGAATTCTACGTACATACATATAATTTATATCTTATTCGTTACTGTCTTTTATAGTTTGTTAATGAATATTATGGAGCACATATATCAAGTACGGATAAGTCTAAAGCTCAATACACAAAGACACATATAGAACAGTACCGTTGTCACAGGGAAGTAATTTATGCAGAACCTACTAATTCAACGAATTCACAATCAAGGTTTGTTATGTGTTTCAAATCTTTATGCAATAAATGTACAAAAATCATTCTTAAAGTTATATGAAACCATTTAAAAAAAATATGTTTATTTCTTAGGCAATCGTTGAGCTCTGATTTACCATTAAAACGTATTGATTCTCGAAAATGTAGAATTACATCTGCTGTTGATTCAGATACTGAATTAGAAGAAACAGCTTCAAATAACTATAGCCAAAGAAGCAAAATAACACATCAGTTTACGAGTTTTATACTGGTTACTGCTTTATGGTTTAGCAAATTCCTTGAATTTCTAAAGCTGAAGCCAGTCAGAAGAAGAGAATATTATGCCACTTATGAATATCAAAGATATGGTATTTTTCAATTATTTAACATGTCTATAAATGCAATCTTCTCATAATCTCTTCATATTTTCTTATAATGTAACATAAAATGAATAACTTATTAACACATATTAATTTTATGTAATTTCAGAATCTAGATGGTCCAAGATTTGGAAATATATTGACAGTCCTTTGCATTATATTTATCTTTTTATGGTCAGGGTGTTTTTCTTTGACTCGTGGTTGTTGAGTCGTGTATCCAGTATTAGGAGATGGATGCATCAGAAAAGCCCAATACTGTTTTGGATTGCTTTATTGCCACTGTTTCTTCTTACTGGTAAATTTTATAACCACTAAGTCACTGTAAACGGTTCGTCAATTAAGAAATCCGTGACTTCATAACGATATTCTTTTATTTTTCTTTTTTTTTCTTTCCTTTTTATTATCTGCCATTTTCACCCACAAGATCGAGTTTTTGCCTTGGCATCTTCGGGAAGACCGGTGAAACCTATCCTGGCGTTTCTTTTTCTTTTTGTTTCAGGAACTTACATCGTGCAAAAACAGTCCTTTATCTGTCTGGATTCTCTGCACAATATTCCCTATGATGTCACTGAGACGACCTATCGCATCTTTAACAATATTATCAGTTTAACGTCTTTTCAAACCGATTTATTTATTGAATATATAAAAATGATTAAAAATTTGTCAGTACATTTTCTGCCTGGTGTGAACGTGTCTTTACCCGAGATGCCTTAGCATTGGTTAGAATTTGATCTTTTCTTTAAAATTTTTTTATTTACCGTCTATATAATTTGTTTTATTTGTAGTTTATAGTGACATGGGATTTGGTTGAACTTACTTTATATTATATTCATACATATATATATACATACATACATATATAAATTTATGTATGTGTGTATGTATGTTTGCCTTGTGATGCATAACTGACCTCCCGTAATTTTTAAATAAAAAGTGATAGATTGTAATTGATACCGTATTATCATGTTATGTTTTCGATATATTTTATGCATTATTATTTATTACTAGTCATGTTTTTATCGTGTATATAAATGAGTTAAATAACAATAGTTACCAAAAATTTATCCTTATATATGCCCGGTGCTGTGGTATCTGTAAAAGCACGTTCATATGCAGTTCAACGCGTTCGGAGAAATTGATGTTCGTAAACATCGTAATGTTATCAACGTAAAACAAAAAAGAACTGTAATCAATGAAATCAAATGATTAAATTTAACTATGGGAGAAGGATAGAGGGAGTAGGATTACTTCACTGGCGATGTAGAATTGGAGTATTCGTGCTTCACAAGGAATATGGATGTAATCTCTATATCTTGATATCATCGGAATGGTGAGTCCCTTCGTCTATCCTTCTCTCGGTATTTGTATCAAGTTACAAGATTAGCAAAACTTGAAGAAGATTATATTTTTATATTTCAGGTTGCTGGTGTTTACCACATCTTTCAGCTCTATTTCCTCAAACCAAAGTAATTACGCGGGAATTTGGAACTGGACAGGAGTTAGTTGCAAGTGAAAAGCAATTATTTTTAAAGGGGGAAATGTTTGGAAAAGAAGATAATTTTGAATCGATCACCGAAAAATTACACAGTAGGATCAACAACTTGGAGGATCGAACTATCAAACAATCTGTAAGGCTCTTTGTTGACATTTAATTACACAATATGAAAATTTTGTTAGTTTTTTTAACGGATTAGCTACTAGTCATATATTTAATATACACAGGACCGCCTTTTCAATATAACTCAAGCGCTGGAGCGGCTTAAAGAAAGGGGATATATCTGGCCAAAAGATGATGTAAGTTTAAACAATTTGTTCGTAATACTTTTCGATGTAATATTATCTGAACTTGACATTGTATTTTGTTTCTTTCAGAATGAAATATTATTGTTGGAGGAGAGACTGAAAGAATATAAATTAGCCGATATCTATTCTCAAGAAATTGATGTTATTAAGTCTCAGTTGGAGAAACTGAAAGAATTTTATTCGGAGTTAAAATTATGCTGTAGCACACGTACAAATCATATTACTAGCGAAGATTTAGAAAAACGTATCGAAATGGTCTTAATTGATCATTTCGGTACGTTGATGTCGAACGCAGAAAAAGTTAAAGGTACCCGATATGTAATAATCGCAGTACTCATTTAAAGCGAGTGAAATATTCATGTTCTTAATTATGTATCAAATACAACGGGTGTGAATGCAAAGTGTATGAAAAATAATTCTTTTTACAGTTCGAGACAAATCATGGATTGCGAATGATGTTATAACGGATGATCGCGTTCGCGAAATAGTCAAGGAAGCCATAAAAATATATGATGCGGACAAAACGGGACGCGTTGATTATGCTTTAGAATCTGCCGGTGAGTTTGTCGAATTCAATAGATCGATTCGGCCCAATATTGTTCTGACTGGATAAAACATATTAGATTTTTTTATTAATAGGTGGTCAGATCATTAGTACACGTTGTACTCAAAAATACGATATAAAAACTAGGGTAGTCAAACTGTTGGCTTTTACACTATATCATGAAAATAATAATCCTCGTACAGTGATACAAGGAAATCCAATACAACCAGGTGCTTGCTGGGCATTTCAAGGCTTTCCAGGATATTTATTAATTAAGTTACGAAGTTCTATTTATGTTACTGGATTTACAGTTGAACATGCACCGAAATCGATTTTACCCAATGAAGAAATGAGAAGCGCGCCTAAAAAGTTTAATGTCTGGGTAAGTAAGTCGACTCTTTTATAAGTGAGGTATACAGCTCAATTCTACATTCTCATGTCGATATAGGGTTTTGTCGATGAAAATGATTCTGAACCTGTATTGTTTGGTGATTACGAATTTGCAGCTTCGGACGATAATCTACAATACTTCCCAGTTGAAGTAAGTTACTTCCTTAATGCAGTAATTTTATTAGATCATTCTGAAAGTAAAGATGGCTTTGAATTTCTCGTTGTGAAAGAGTATACCATCACGAAAATTCATTATCCGTGAATTCAAATAAACACTATTACGTATTTTTACCAACGTTATATAATAGTATTTACCATATCGGGTACTTTCATGGCCCAATTTCGCAAGTGTTATTTAGAAATGTTAAATCAAAATCAACAAAATCATACAACAGAAATCTACGGATATCGCCAAAATACATTCGTTACAATGGTGCTTATTTATGTTTTATCAAGGAAGCTTCAGGATGATCCAATTACATACTTTGCGTTTTCTTAAAGACTCGTTCTAATATAATTGATATTTTACAATGCAGAATACAGCAATCAAGACACCATATGAATATGTGGAATTAAGGATACACAGTAACCATGGACAACTTGAATATACATGTTTGTACAGATTTCGTGTACACGGAAAATCAGTTTAAATTTCTTTTACTGAAAATTCAAGTGCAAAATTTTTTTGAATATTGTAATTGTAGCAGGAGTGGATTTGCAATTCGATTCATATCAGTCAATAAAGGGAGTAAGTAAATGAGTCGGTGAGTGCGCGTGAGTCAGTAATGAGTGTCAGTGGAGAAAGGGTTGGGAGGGAAGAAGATTGGAAGGGAGAGCCATTGCATGTTGTGCCTTCAATTACTCTTCGATATAACAATAACCATCACGATTTAAGGAGAGATTTATTCTTTAACGCGTAGAGACATACGCAAAGTGAATAAAGCGAACGTAAGTTACCGTTATCATACGTAGACAATACAAGCCTAAGTGTATATATGTATATGTGTATATATATATACATATACATATACATATATACGTAAGTACATGGAGTCGATTATTTAATCATTTTCTTTCTTTGTACGAGTGTTTATACTTCTTTTCCCTCAAGTTTTATCATCAAGCACAAATGTAACAACTGTTTTCAGCGAAATGTACAAAAAAACACAAGCTGTTTTTCGAAGAACCAATTAGATAGGAATAAAAAATGAAAAAGCTCAGCGTTCTAAATATTACTCAAAGTTCAGTATCATTATGTTTCTGATATCGTACAGTTGTAAAACTCACACGACAGTACAAATTGTAAAGAAAAAAGCTCTGCCTAATTTCAGGTACATAAGTATGCAGTGTTTTTACGATAATTTTTATTATACTAATGCGTTTCATAGAAATCTAGTATAACATGTTTGATAATATATTTGGTTAGCGCATATGCAATCATTGTGCGCGTGTTGTGTACATATGCACATATACATTGTACATGTATAAAATAGCAAGAATTATACTGTTTTGCAAGTTATAAACTAAATTTACAAGAAAAAAAAGAGGCTACTTTTATACATATCATTTTTTCTCTTATTCTTCACCTCTCGTTGAGGTTACTTTATCGAACACGATACTTACGATATTTCTTTTACTGTTGCATTATTTTTTATTACCTTTACTTGGCTTTTCACGTAATGTCATTTCCAGTAAACGAAGGTGTAGAGTGTTCGAAAAATACGTACTTCGGAAGCCACAGTGACACGTAAGTACATATAAATATAATTATATACAAAAGAAGTGCATTATATATTCAACTATGAAGTGAAATGACTAGAATAGAATTGTTGAAACTATTACTATATTATCAAGAAATCGTTTGTCTATAAGTTCTTATTCACTATACCAGGTTATACAAACCAAGATGTTAGACGTAAGTTATAACGAACGATTTTACAAAGAACGAATGTTATAATATAATCTTTATAATGAGCGATTATACGATTAAAATTAGTAGACTACAACAAACGCGAAGAAATACTGACGGTCGCCTCGCCGATTTTTTTATTATTCCAAAAAATGTCTTGCTTGCAATTGGATCTCTTAGATCGTCGATTATTTCTCATTGTTAATAAAACTGAATATTAGCGTAGTTCGCTCATCTATTTAGTATTTATTACTTAGCAACCTCTTAACCTAACCTAGAAATATTAATCATGAATAATTAAAAATAATTGCAGCCATGAGTCAACAAAATACGTAGTGAGAAACACTGAGAAAATTTATGTATAACGAATGAGGGTCTAATTATGTAGTAGTAACACAGACAAGTATCATACGATGTGACACTTTAGGCCTGGTGCAGACGAACGAACGATGCGTCAGCGTCACCGCAACAATTTGCCGCCGCATTTATGCGTCCGACTTTTCTTACAATTCATACAAGCGTTTTGCGTTCGCTTTCATATCGCATATTTGTTCATTCAGTTAAAATTTAATAACATGGATGCGGTAACTCATTACCAAAATTATAAAAAAATGCATTTCTGTAAGTTTTAAGACTATATTAATCTACGACAGGAAGGAGATATTGGATATATCCCTTCATTATTGCCAGACTTCTCAAAGTTCCATGTTTATCAATTCGAGGGAAAACGAGATAAAATTATTTATGTTTATATGGTCGGGAATATTTTCATGAATTAAGTGTAAAAATTAATGAAAATTTGATGTAACGCCCACCGAGTGTCAGTATTCCGTTCGCAACCAAACAGTACGAGCGTTTGTTTTGATAGACGCAAACTTACTGCTTATCTAGTTGCCGCTCAAAGTTGCGTTCTATGTGAACTGCTTACAGCTACTGTTTACTGCTTAAATCTATTTTGTTTTAAAGCGCAACAACAAAATGCCGCGACGGCGACGTTGATGAAAACCGTTCGTCTGCACTGGTCCTAATCTGTAATCTATAAAAATCTATTCGAACTGAGCTTGATAACGTTTATGTGTCCAAATCATCATCGTCAGATATATTGAATGTGAAACGACATTTACATTTACATTCTGACTGATTAGTTTTAATCCTTCCGGCTGATGGTTATTAACTGTAAATAGAAATTACGCGTAATATAGGCTAGGTAATGCTAAATTGATCGGTTGTATCAGAATCATCATATGGGGATAATGGTGAGATACAGAGGCGGCAGAAAGGCTGTTCATTTTTGAATCATCTTTATTCACGCAAAACAAGAATAGATTTAAATATCCGTGTCAATAATCGTACGCGTACACATATGTGTGCGTACACGTCGCTTAGGTACATGAAGCGCGTGTACGTAATTTTTTATGCATATACATGTGTGTTTATACGTTACACTTTATGCGTATGGAATATAAAGTATACGTATAACGTACAGTATGTACATGTATGTATGTATATAAAGTATATAATATATATTATACTTTATATATATTATATAAGATAGTATATATTATATACTATATAAGATGTAATATAGTATATTTTATATATATATAGAGAGAGAAACAGAATGAGAGAGAGAGGGGGGGGGGAGAGAAAATTATAAAAGAATCGAATTAAATCAAATAATATACGCACATCACGCCACGTCTTTTTCGTTTCTACCTACGTACCTGGTGACATGAGCAATGGGTTACCATCGATATACATACATAAAATACATTATATATCGTAAAACGAACAGTCGATAATCGGTGTTTTAACTGTTGGAACGGCGACATTCGCAAGACTCGGTAACAAAAGTGTGTAGATGATTTCGAGGAACAGTTACATATGTTACGAGGTAGAAACGGATATATATCGGCGACGAGATTTCGGAACGATATCGGAATGGGTTCAATACTGATTTTGGAATGGTTCGTAATTCCCAGGATTGGGACGAGTGTTAGAACAATAAATAATATTTAGTAACGTTAATGGAATTTTCATAGTATCCACTTAACGGTTCCTGCTTGATAATCAGAGATCATCTATCGGGCTGTAAACTTATACGCGGAAATGATTAATTTCGATCGTAACTTTTTTCATACAATAACTATTTCGAAGAATATTGTTGCGTAAGTTTTGTGACCGCTTTACGATCGCCTTTCTCAAACTAAAAAAGTAAACAAATAAATAAATATTATACATTTACTACATACGCATAACTCCGTTCATCGTTCGACTCACGAACAACCGAGTATTCGCATTGGTCGTTGTTTTAGCTATCTACACCACGCAATTTTGTTCGCTTCCCTATACTTTTCCAAATAGTCAAAGGTGAAGTCGAAGTTGTCACACTGTCGTAGCAATTAAACAACAATAAGTATGCTATAAACTAACAATATAATATAAAATAATATAATATAGTATAACACAATATCAGTAATAGAAGTCATAGTCGTAGCAATAGCAATAAGTTAATAATAGTAATAGTACTAACGATAATAATAGTAGCGATAGTAATAGTAAGGGTTGTAATAGTAGAAGTAGCAATAGCAGCTGTAGTAATAATCAATAAGAATAGCAGTAATAAAAACGATAGCAACTGCAATAGTATTCAATGATGATATCGATATCGTTGAATTGCCGTCATAGTTGAAGTTAATAGTAGCAATAATTGAAACAATAGTATTAGTAGATGTAATAGCTGTGGTGAAAGTGGAAATAGAGTAGCAACGAGAGTGACGATGCAAGTAATTTTACTTATATACAATTGCAACGACAATAGCAGTAATAACGGTCACAGTAGCGATAGCAGTACTATTGGAGGTAGCAATAGCAATGATTTAACAACCACAACAACAGTATAATTATTTTTACTGTTTTTGTAGTTTTTGTAGAGCGGCAATTGTAATAGTAATAGTGGTAGCAGCAGTAACATTATAGCATTAATAATAGAAATACTGTAGATAATTGGTGACGTAGTATTAATTTGATCCATGAATCTTCCTCGGTTTTTGTATCGAATGCCCTGCTTTAGCCAATCATTTGAACATTTCGACGATCGAATCGAAGTCTATTACTAAAATCTATAACGAAAATCTTGTCCTCTTCCACAAGTGCATATAAAGCGGTTTGGGCGAGATTTTTAATGGTAATTGCGACAAACCATCATAAAGGCTCTATCTATCTAACTATTTAACTATCTATCAATCTACTTTAACCATTGGAATCATATACTGAATAAGTAACATGTACGATTGCTAGTTTTCTAAGAATTATAATATCAATATAAAAGGATAAAAAATAATAATCGTTGTAATAACGGACGACGGTATTTAAAGTAAATAATTAATGATTAATTGAATAAAACGCAAATATTCTGTCGACTAGATTCGTATATGGGTTCATTAGCACGCAAACTTAGCTCATACCACTTCGTTTTCATGCTTTGATACGCAATGCTTTGAAAAAGGAGAAAAACGAATGAGACGAAGTCGAGATAACGATAAAAATGAATAATTTAACTAATGCTTTATTACGTCTACGATCACGTCGATCTGTCGGTAGATCTGTGACTGCCTTGTAGCAAAAGCAGAAATTTTGCTGATTTATCTAACTGATAATTCATCGAATATTCGTCCATTAAATCTGTCCAAAATTCAATCTGTTTCCGTAAAGATTTGTTTCCTCCCGGATGCATATTTGCATATCTCATTCTTTTTCTCTCCCATTTTCCCGCTCTCTCCGTGTGAACGAGTGTATGCGTGTAGTAATCAATTACATTTACTGCTAATCCATTTGATGCATCCTGGAAACGAAAGGAAGAGGTATGATCGCGTAGCGTGCCTCGAATTCCCAGTTCAGGGGTGTTCGATCTTTCGGACGTTGTGAAGGAAATAGCATGAACGAATGTTGATAAGTTACTCAAAATTCTGCGGAAAATCGTTGTCAAAATTGTTTCTTATAGCTTCTCGTTTCTCGTAGTTCCTCGTTGGTCTTGTTAGAATCGTTCATCGTAGATGTCGTGTAAATGAAAGTCTTCGTAATGAAAGCGCCTCTGTGTTCTTTTCTTCTTACTTCTTGCCGCCTAGGTACTCGACCATCTCCAAAAGCTTTTCCTTTTCATCTTCAAGCAGCAATGCTTGAACGCAGCTGTTGAAGTATTGCGTACCAAAGCAGTTTTGCCTAAATATATAAAGAAATAAATTAGATCGGATATATATATATATATATATATATATATATATATACCTTATATCTTATCGTGTAAACCGGATTTTTTTGTTTGTAAATCGAATGTAAAACTGAGGAAGAAGAAAAGAAAAAAGGAAAAAAGAGAAGGAAAGAAGAAATGAAAAGAAAAAATCTAGGATTCGTTCGTTTGGTTTCATACGGTCTTCTTTTACGCCCTGAAACAAGAAACTTTCTCATTGTTATTGTCAGTTACACACGTGAAATTGTCGTTTTACGACACATGAAATGTCAGCGAATAAACCACGCCTTTTCGCGTTTACGATAAACACACACAAACGAATCCTTTAATTTCGATACAACGATTGTTAAATAACGTAGAATTGAAAAATTGAAAAATTGAAAAATTGAAAAATCGAAAAATTGAAAAATTGAAAAATCGAAAAATTGAAAAATGTACCGATTGAAACGGTGTACATATTTTTTCTCTTATAAAATGTGAAATGACTAGTAAATGATTTACAATGGGTATATCTTGTCCGCAAAAATCGTAATTGCAAGGAGACAAAAAACGACAAAATACGCAACAGCTGCTTCCAGCAACAGAACCTGCAAAAATATTTGAACGTTGCAAAAACTTGTTTTATTATTCTCTCCTCTTTGCAGTACATATTTCCATTGGCATCCTGTACCCGTCGTGTTGTCTGAAAAATGTACGTTAGTACAAAATCTATGTCGTTTCGATGAGGCACGATAACGCGCGACAAAAAACAGTTGGAAAAAATGTCGAAAAATGTGTGTTGCTCATCTCAAAAATCGTTGGGAGAAAAATGGAAAAAACGAATGAAAACGAACGACCAAATCGGTAAAAGAATGTAACGCCGCCATTTTGTATCTTATGTATCCTCAAATATGGTTAGCTACGATATTGAAAAATCGATAAGCATACAAATAAACATGTACTTATCTACGAGAGGTAAGAGTTAGAAGAAATTAATCGAAAAAGAGTAATTACTCGTCGCTCAAAATGCGCATAATGCGTCTATTGAAATACCTATAAAATGTACTAAAATATCGAGCAACATCGTTTTATTATTGCGAAATTTACTTAGAATTACCTAAGGGCAGCATGCGCATATGTCGCGTATCATCGTGTATATTGTGTGCATCGTTGAGTCGTGGTTCATAAATTCTTGAGACGACCACAAAGGCGTATAGTTTCCGTCGATCGGAAAACAACTAGTTCGATCGTAAACGTTGGTAACTATCGGGAACGAGAACTTGTTAACGAGCAACGAAAACAAACGTGCAACCAAAAAGTAGAGAAAATTCAAGAATCGGAATATAGGAGGACAAGAAGATGAGAATGGAGATGGAGAAAGAGAAACAGAAAGAGGGGAATGAGAAGGAGGAGAAGAAGAAGAAGAATTTAAAGAGGTAAAAGTAGTTAAAGGAGAAAGAAGTAGTTGTTCGAGACACAAGTAAGATGAATGATTGCTGAAAGAAAATGATAAAATAGAAAAGGACGATAAGATGATCGGGGTAGATCGAAAAGAGAGGAAAATGAGAGAAGCGAATGCGTTCGGCGAATAGAGTACTACATGTAAAGCTATAAAATGAAAATACGCGGATAAGAAATCATAAACACAAAAAAAGAAGCTACCTAAACCCCGGGTTCCGCTCCATGAAGTGTCTTGATCCATGTTTGGATCTTCTCTACTTCGTCTTGTAACAACAGTACGTCTAAGCATCCTTTGAAGTAGTCTGATGTAAAGCAGTTTTTCCTGGAAAAGATTTCAAAATACAAACACTAAATATAATCCGTTGAATTCGCTACATATCGTTATCTTGAGTGATTCGTCCTAGATCTGAAAATAAGTGAAACATTAGCGAGGTTCGTTCTCGCTAGTATAAGATAAGGATTTTTAGACAACCTTCGACTCGCAAATTCACCGACGAAAGGTAAAACAATCACTGGACGATACACTTTTTCCAATATTCCTTCCTTCTTCGAGCTTACGATTTGCGATTTCTCGACATCCGTATCATCGACGTATCTAATCGAAAGTACGCTTTAATCCATCGAAATACAATCGAAGTTACGTATCGACCTTTCGATTGTCGCACTTCCTCTCGAAAACGGTTTACGTAAGGCGTAAAAGAAATCACGCGCACGTTCTACAGAGAAAATGTTTGAACAATTTCATATCTAGACGGTATTGAACATCTTCCTTGCCCTCCTAAATTTTCTCTAATTTGTACTGTTTTTGAGGCACGAAACATCCGATCGCACACGCGTCGTATTATCGACGGAGTAAAAAAGACAAGACGATTGCAGTCACTGTATACGTAACGCGTGCAGTAAAACGAATGTTTTCTATCGAAAGGACAGAGGATGTCGACGATACGGCCGGGTAAAAGCATTCGTGACAAAAAATAAAAATGTAAGTGCATACTTGCTTATGTTTTATATCGAAAGGAAGGAATCGTGTCGCGTGCATTACTTTGCGATGGTACCGAAAAATTTCGTTCGTCGATGGTTATCTAAATCCACGATACGTTACGATAAACACACTAGACGAATAGACGATGTATGTCGCATATACGATTGATAGAACGTATTCGAATCTTTATGGATAATTACCTGCATAGTTGATGTAATTGAGGTTCCCGAAACAGGTTATAACAATCCTCGCAGATACGGTCCAGTCGGGCAAAGATACTTTTATCGTATATACCCTTACATTGAATATCGATAAAGGACCTTTTACCCAAAGGATGTCCATTCAAGATGCCAGCGTCCGTTAGACCGATGCACGATGAAACGAGTAACAGTGTCACAGACCAAGCTAACACAGAGACGAGTTTTGGGCAGGGTATCGATACAGTTGACACGATCGACGATTCGCTTGGTAACGAAGGTAACCTCGAGCACGAGGTTTGTTGTACGCTCCAGGAATACGACGACAAGTTCGATGTCGGCCACGTCGTTGACAATGGTAGAAAGATGGACGACGATGACAACGGCGACGACGGTGTCGATGGCGACGGCGATGGCGACGTTGAGGTTGTCGTAGAAGACGGCATCGTTACAGACGATATCGATGTAGTTGTGGATGGGATAGATGAACGAGACATCGAGAGCGGTAAGGTTAACGATGATAAAGACGACGATGAGGAACGAAGCCTCTGTTGCCGATGCATAGTCTGAAAAAGAAATAAAGTACAAAATAGATTGGCAAATCGGAAAGAAACGAAGATGTCAAAGAAACCGATCGTTTTATATCCTTTGAGCTGGAAAGACATAGTCGAGATTTGCCGAAGTTTAAGAACGAATAACGTCTCTGTGGCGAATAATATATCTACGATAAAACTGCGCCAGAGGAAAGAAAGACTAGCGAATATTGCGGAAGAAAAGGAGAAAGGGGGGGGGGAAGAGGAAAAGAGGGGAAGAGAGAGTGCGAGAAACGTAAAATTCGAAGATGTATTAAATCCATCCATCGCGGAGACTCGTGTAAGTACTTATATGCTTGTACAGTTCGTACACTGCATACGGATGCATATGGATTTCGTACTTGTACATTTCAGTGTTCCTGCACTCTCTTTCCCGAACCTAACCCCTCGAAAGTGTACAAGTTGTTTCGTGGCACTCGTAATAGTGGCCGTCCGTGTTCTCCTTGTCATTTTACCGTGGTGACAGTAACAAACAGCGGCGACAGCAATAACGAGAAGGAGAAGAACGTCGTCGACGACGATGACAACGTCGACGATAATGACCGCGGCCCTGTTCGAGTCGAGCACACGGCATTTCGAGGCTCGACAAACTCAAAGCGATTCGTGAGGTAAAAGTAAAGATGTAAAGCTCTCCTCCTAACCAGTCCCGCGGCAGTCGTTGTGAATGGACCACACGCAGGTAGGCCCCACCTGTAAACGTCCCGAACCGACAACTTCATTAAGCGGAGCTGAAGCGCAGAGCGGCACAGCACGGCACGGTACTGCATAGCAATGTGCGAGACGAGGGGAGCCTTCTTATGCGCGGCGATGCGGGGCAATGCGAGATTCTCGAACGCACGACGGTTTCTTGTTTGTTCTTTTGCCTTCGTCTCATCGGCGCGGCGGCACCTGTACACGCCGAGGAGAACGTTTCGCTCGGTTCTCTTTTTTCGGAACATAATCACTGCTCCCGGGTGGGATCTTATTTTTAGCCACGACCGATTCTTGGAACTCTCAAACCGCCCCACTCTATATCGGACCCCCACCTGGTAATTACCTGCAGCCCGATAATTTGCCGCTAAAGTCGCTCGGTCTCGATCGTTAAACATCGTCCCACGGATTTTCAGACCGAGTATGATCGTCCATCATCGATCATCGATCGCCGACCGCCGACTGTTGATCGCCGATCATTGGCCGTCTCGCTGCGTTGCGTCGTATCGCGCCGCTAATTCATCTAGTTTTTCTAACGATTTGCATTAATTTGCAACGATAATCGGCGTCGATAAACGGTAATCGATCGATTAAAACTCCACTTAACAGGTTTAATTACAATAGTTGAATTTATCTGTAGACGAGTTTCCGTTCGTTTCCGATATTACGTATTTCGATGGTATTTAGTCAGATTTGCGAAAGTAGCGTCGATTTGCGATTAAAAGTCTCCGGCTATAGCTACAGCTTTCTCTTCTTCGCAGAGCGAAAAAAGATAAATTCCTGCTATACTAAATTGGAATTCTAGGTTCGTCTCGAGTCCCGAAGATAAAGAGAGAATAAAAAAACTACGGATGGTGAACGCGATCAACCTGCGTCGGATCAACTAGAGATGAAAATAGGAGACGAAAGGCTCACGGTAAAGATTTTAGGGTGGAAAACTATAACTAAACGTCGAGGTTGAGGGGCGAGGAAGAATGGATGGCGAGATGGGTGGAATACGAAGGGTGAAGAGCAGATAGCGGAGAGTAGAGTGGAGAGCAGAAAGCAAAGTGAGTGTACGTAAACGAAGAAAAAGTCAATGGAGACCGGTTACTCGACAGGTGAGGTCTTTCCTCGGTCGAGCCATGCACAGGTGTGCAATCTGTAAATCCCCCTTAGCAAAAAACTATACACTCTTCGGCACCGCTTCACGGCTCTGTCGCGCGCTGTTATCCGAGTCACTAGTTATGTACGTACGTACTGTATACACGTTCGATGCTTACACGCGACCGAATGCAACTCCTTTATCGACACGCATCTTAAATGCTTGCATTCGAATCGTGCGAATTAAAATATAGATCTCTTCCTTGCACCCGAAATATTACCGACATGCCTGCGAAGTATCCCGTTTACTTGCGTCCGTTTAACTATTTTTATTTCAGATCTAAAATGCGGCGCGAGAACGAATGTAATAATCGAACGAACGCATGAAAACGAACGAACGAACGTTTGTCGTTCCTCCGGTGTTATACAAGCTCTTCCGAGAATTCGGAATTGAGAGCTTATCGAAAAGAAGAGATCAGTTGAATTTGTTTGTTTGAAGAGAGAGAGAGAGAGAGAGAGAGTATCTCGAAGCATATCCTGTTGCGTTGTAATGCCACTACCCAGAATCAGCAACATGTTCCCAGAATTATCAACATCAAATAAGAAAATAACGAATATAAGATCGCTAGCAAAACGAGGGGGAAAAAAGGAGAAAGAGAGAGAATAGTAACGTTACAAGTTGAATCGAATCGTTTTGAGTCGAACCCACCGAAGTCGAAAGCCAGTTGGGTCGAATGGGATAAGAGGAAGGAGCCACGAGGCGAAACGGTCTATATCGTTAGATACATCGTTGGGCTCTCCTCACCAGGTGGTCCTCTTCCCGTGCCGGATGACTCAATCGTGAGAAGGAGTTGCTCGACGAGCTCACGAGAAGACTCGCTAGAACCGTGTGTGCTTCGTGTCTTGGTCTGAGTTTGTCTGCCCGTCTCCTACCACATTCGTGTATTCATGTACGTACATATACGCGATTCAGTGCAGTCCCTTCCCGACCTCCTTGGCTTTCCTCGTGAACCAGCTTACCCGATATTTCTACGCCGGTGACAGTGGTGTGCGTACTTACACGTGTATGCAGATCGTTCTGGTCAAACACGTGGATCTTTCGAATAAAATGGTCTTCTCGTCGTCTCTTTTTATTCATACGCGTTCATTCGCGAGGAAATTAATCGAAACGAACGGAGCTTAGGAAGAAGAGAGACGACGCGATACAGATTCGCTACTTAATAGAGCAAGCAAGCAGAAAAGATAGTCGAAGTATTTGCAGGGATGGAGAAAAATTAAACGCGGAGAAAGATTAGATGGCTGAAGCAAGAGGAGAAGAAGAAGAAGAAGAAGAAGAAGAAGAAGAAGAACAAGAAGAAGAAGAAGAAGAAGAAGGAGGAGGAGGAGGAGAGAAAAGGAACCGTTTGAGCGGTAAGCGAGCAGATTCAAGGGAAAAAAAGAAGGAAGAAAAAGAAAAAGGTAGACGCGGATCGTAAATCGATAGACAACGAGGTGACGAGATCAACCAGCAAAGGGATTATCGATCACCTCCAAATTAATATACGAATTTGTACATGATACTTAAAATTATATTTACCTATTATTCTCTTTTTCTGTTTCATTGCTACATAAAAACTCATGGCTGTTCACGCTGTGTTGAGAAATTGATTCTATTTAAAGAACACGTATAAGAATAACATATGCAGCTATGGTGCACGGTACCGACAGATGTTCCGATCAACGATAAAAATCGACGATGAAAGAAATTGAGAGATTTATTCACTTGTAAACGGTAACAGCGCAGAGGGAGGTGCATAAACTAAACTGGTACTTAAATAAGTACTATATGCCATAGGTATTAAAAGAAATATCAAGAAAGCGAAAAGGCATCGAGGAATCTATATCGTTCTTGAACAAGTTCGAGAACTTTCCGGTAGAGTCGAACGTAGTTAGAGGTAATACTTTGAAAGTGCCGCGAAAGTGCTGGTTATCTGGTCACGATCGAAGATCAAAGAGGTGGGATAGGAAGAGGAGGGAAAGAGAAGAAAAAGGGAGGGCGGGGGTTGTCAGCGGAGCGGGGAGAAGGACGCGGAGAAGCCGAAGAACTCAAGGAGAAGGAGAGATAGGCGGGTTGAACGGACGACGGAGGATCGAGGCGTCCGGCGTCCTCGATCGCGGGATCTTGGAGCAAAACTAACGATCTCCCGTTCGCTTGCAAGATCAACACGACGATAATTTAATACACGAGATCACCACCCAGGTGTGCTCTGACGTGTACAGATGCTGTTTGTAACCTCGACAAGGAGGAAAAGGCTGAGTCGACAGAAGTGGGAATCTGTATACTGTATGGCGTATGGGATTCCAAATGCGAATACGAGCTCTTCCCCTTTTGCACGATCTCTCTCCCTCTCCCTCTTTCCCATTTTCCTCTTTTTCTCTCTTCCCCTTTCCCATCCCCATCGTCATCCCCCGTACGTTGGTCTTTCTTTCTTTCTTTCTTTCTCTCGTATCCGTATTCTCTCTCTTTTTGCACTACCGATATAAACGACCTGTACACGTGGACGCGTGCGCAGATTTTTGCGAAATATTTCGAAAACTTTTCAACGACCGATGGATAGATGCATCTTCTAAAAAAACTCGATCGTTGCTGGCCAACAAACGTACGCTTGAAACGCACAGTCATGAAATATCGTGATTGTCATCGTGACTCTACCTCTGCTATACCTTCGCATTTTAACATATCGAAAATAACATATCGAAAAATAATTCCCAATTGGAAGGTGGATACTAGCTTATAGCTATTAAATGCCGGGAACGCAGAGCACAAAAAAGGGTACGTTCCTTTGACGTCATACGCTTTCGTAGAAACAGCTCGATACATCGAATCGTCGACAATCAGAATGAAAAAACAGAAACACGCGTATACTACTGGTGGTTCTCCGATTCTCGAAGAGATGCTACATAAATAGAAGAGCCGATGACGTCAATCGTTTGCTTTAATTACATAAGGACAGTCCTTATTAACCTATGCCGACAGCTAATGACGAGTTAATGATCGCGATAAAATCTCTAAATCCATTTATCGATCGAACGACGATTCTCGTTTCATACATCTTTTTGCTGCCTCTTTTTATCTTTCCAACTGTTTAACTATTCCGATCGAATAGTACGGTCGAACGTCGTATCGTCTAATTTGGCCCCGTATATGTATGTATATATATATACTTGGGCACGTAAATATACGTATATACATGTCATCTCATCGTTATTTTAGCGTATGTATATAAATAATTTAAAGCAAAGTATATCATTAACATACGAGTATAATTAGGCAAGAGCAAATTTAACATCTCGATTAATTTATAGCGATAGAATTTGCGCAAAGAGAATTACGATTCAAACGAACGACGCGTGTACAGATCGATTTCTTCAAATCCCAGTTCTCATTAAAGATGATTATATTTCGTGCATTGTCTTATTCTCTCTATTACGTAGTCCGTTGTTAGCGTTACGTTACTCAACAAAAATCACGTGAAATCATAGGTTTTTCCATACTGCTTTTTCATCTGGAATCGCTTATACAAAGGAATTTCGTAGAAACAAATCAACGTGCAAGTTGATATTTGCATTAAAAGACGAATAGTGAAACTTATTTCCATGAAATTCGTGGAATACTCACGAGCAGAGCAAAACAAGGCAAATCAAGACAAGACAAGGCGAGACAAGACAAGGCAAGGCAAGGCAAGGCAAGCCAAGGCAAAGCAAGGCAAGGTAAGGCAAAGCAAGGCAAAGCAAGCCAAGCACAGCTGCGTCCTGCGTCCGCATGCACCTTCGTATGCAATGTACGTAGTCGACGCGCGGGTATTTGCGAAGGAATGTTCAACAGGTGTGTCGCTCGGATTGAGCTTTATGCGCGCGTACACGCCTTTCCTTTCGCCCTTCCTTCTTCTTTCTTTCTCCCTTCTGTATATCCCCATTTTTCTATATGTTGAATCTTGTACGCCAACAGTACCGTAGCGTATACTCAAACAGGCCGATTATAATATAGAAAGTGTGGCGATAACAAAAATAAACCCAAAAGTAAGAAATATTATCGCGCCTCTTCCGAACCTACTTCCGGCAAGATAAATCCTAGAGATATCAGCTTCTACTTGATGCGTTCCTCGCTTCGTCTATATCGATCTGTTCGATCCGTCTAACGATAAGTAAAAAGCTTGGAAAAGTTTGACGTAAGATGCTTTTCGAACGACGTATA